AATAATTGCTCTGTTTCCATGATATGCTGAATTCAATCTGCCCTTACTCCTGGGCTACTACTTAGAGCTCCAACAGCAAACAACTGCTGGGCTGTCCCAGTTAAATTAGGGAGCAGCCATTTTGACTGCTATCTCTGGTTCCTTAATGACTGGTGGCAGTTCAATTAACATTTTAGAAAAAAGAAAATTCTGGTAGATCAGGATTAGAGGCACTGCAGACTGATGAGGAACACTTAGTCTCCTTTCAGCGCATATGATATGTGAAAAGTAAAAAAAAAACAAACCCAAAACAATTTGCAATTCCACTCTAGGCAGACATCTGTATCCCTGTCTCTGAAGATGTAAAGGAAAGTTAACTAGTTAAGGCAGTAACTGCAGAAATAACCAGGCTACTGAGTTTGTAAAACATGCTGGAACTTGAAATGACCTAGCAAAGCTAGGTGTGAACAGAGCCAGTGAAATAAAACTTAAATTGATGTGATGTCTGGGGGAACCCCTGGGTCTCCTACTAAGAATTCTACTGAGTTTCACAGTGAGAAGAACACCCACCAGGTTAAACCATAATACAGTTTTCTTGCTTTAACCTATATGTGAACCTAACCAATTATGATTTACTGTATTCAACAGACCAAGATCAAATAGGCCCCTGCTTAGCACAATTATGAATCCAACAGCAGCATTATGTGCAATTCAGACCATATGGCAATTTCCATAAAACAGGGATTTAAAAAATCCTAATTTAGTATATGCCCAACGCTTAATGCCTACAGAGACTTTAAACCAGGCCAGCACAACTTGTAGAGGGGAAAACACCACATGGATCCCCTTTCAATGTATCAGCAAGGGATAGGCCACAAAGGAATAGCAATGATTAGCTGTTTGATGGCTAGTGGTGCAGCAGAATTGCTGGAGCTGGCAGTGTCTGTACAACAGGGACGCTTGGCAGCATGTCTTTCAGGGCAGAGGTGACTGCCAAAAAAGTAGGTAGTGGCAGATTCTTCTTGTGGCATTTGGCAGCAGAGGATTTGTTAAATTTTTTAAAAATGCAGGTGGGACACATCTGGCCTGTGGTTTTATATGTTGTGCAGACCTGCTTTAGATGTTAGTACTTCTCAACAGTGGTTGAGTCCAAAATTGAGTACTTCGCTTAGTGGTCACCAGGATTTTTTCAGCCAGATATAAGCCTTAGGCTTACCTGAAGCTGACCACGAGTCTACATCAGTGTATTTCAAACTTGGCAACTTTTAAGATGTGTGGACTTCAACTCCCAGAATTCCCTAGCCAGCATGGCTGGCTGGGGAATTCTGGGCGTTGAAGTCCACACACCTTCAAGTTGCCAAGTTTTAAATACAATGATCTAGAGCAAGCAACTAGTGTTGGTTGTAGCAATTCTAATTTGAAAACTGACTTGCCGTAGAAGTTTAGGAGTGGGAAAATGACAGATATATT